AGAGCTGTTACAAGAGAGTAACAAACATCAAAAAAAAGAAGGGGAGATAAGGATGATAGATGCTTCATAGGAAAGAAGAAGCAAATCACGCAAAAGCAGCCACCAACCACCCACGTTTCTTCAGACTTCAAAAGTTTCGACCGTACACGAAAATTTGAAGAAGCAAAAGATACAATTTTCCAAAACTATAGAGTGTGGCTGAGAGTCTGCACTGGCTACTTCCATCACAAACGCTGAGAGTCGCAAGACATCACAGATTCGATCGGTCTCTTCCGTTGCTAGTTCTTCACAAAATGGCAGCCCGGTTCGAAATGTTTCGTTTTGGTGACTCCGCTAAGGCAATAAAGTTACGTGGAAAAGCAAAACAAAACTAAAAAACAACAACACGTAACCAGAAGTCTCACACACGTATTCTTAAATGCATTAGGTATCATACGTAAAAAAAACAAAAACAGAAAACACAGAACATAGAGACATATACCGTTGATATATATATATATATATATATATATATATATATATATATATATATATAGGTGTATATATATATAGGTGTATATATATACACACATATATAATATATGATTGGGCTGTCATCACAATAATATATATATATATAATATGATAAAAACAACCTCTTTGGGGTAGAACAAAGAGTATCGAATTAGCCGCAAGAACAGGAAATAAGAATACATTAGCAAAAAAATCATCACACGAGCCATAAATAGAACGGTCCGTCGAGGGGGGAGGGGATGGGGAGGGGGGACAACTTGAGGACGATGACATGACCTCTGATGTCAAAACATTGAGTGAGTGAGCACCCTTGAGAAAATGGATCCATTTTGAGTTCGTTTTTTTTTTCTTCAGTAAAAGTTTTTTGGCACCCGCAACTGCATAAGGTCATATTATGAGCGCCGGAAGATTAGAGGTGCTACAAGAGAGTATGGTAACAAACATAAAAAAGAAGAAGGGGAGATAAGGACGATAGACGTCCGATAGGAAAGAAGGAATTTCGAGTTAGAGTAATCAAAGTCAGGTATCAGACTGCTGGGCTTGGGGG